TCCCACCCAGCGCTTGAATCTCCAGTGTGCCCGTTTGGATTCCGGGGTGGGGCACCCTGCTTGCTGGCCAGGCGCTCCACCACTCGAGCCATGCCCCCAGGTTCTGTCGATGTTCAGAGTGAGACTTCAAAGCTGATCGCCTCCGAACAATAGCAATGGAGAGCGGGAGAACGAGGGTGGGTCTGGGGACGAGGCCGCCTTCCTCTTCTTCTTTTTGGAGGGGGTGTACTTGGCTCGCGCTAGGTGGCGCTCGTTCTCCACCGTACCCAGGAAGGTTCTAGAACTCCTGCGTTCCTTTCTAATGACTAAGGGGTGATCGCCAAGCCTGGCTTGCTTTTTTTGTTTGTTTGTTTTTACCCATGAGAAAACGAAGCTACAGAGGGAAGGTGTCCCGCCCCGAGTCCCGGGCCGCAGCACACCTGCTCCCCGCGCCCGCGAACGTCCGCCCTGCGTTCACGGCGGAATGCGCGTGCTGGGGGGGGGGGGGGGCAGGCTTCCTGCCGACGCGTCTGTCCTCCGACCCCCTCCGGTGCACAAGCAGTCCCTAGACGGGCCAGGACGCGAGACCGGGGTCGGAGCGGACCCCCGCGCCCGCGCCCGCGCCCGGCCCGCGCCTCAGAGCTGCACCCCTCCCCAGGTGCACCCCACACCCGCCCGTGGGGTCTGGCTCCCCGCACTCTAGGGAGTGTATTCCAACGTGACGGCCCTCGACCCTCCGCCTCCGGGACCGGACGGGGGACACCGGAGACGCAGGGTGCGTCCGTCCGTCCATCCGTCCGTCCGTCCGTGGGCAGACGCGGGCGGACCGTCCGTCCACCCCACGGCTCCAGCGGCCTTTCAAAGCAGTGGGGAGTAAAGAAAGCCGGTGACCTCGGGTCAAGGTCACGGCGCTGGAAGGTCAGCGCCCCTCCCCCTCCCCCGGCGTGGGCTCCTACGCAGCCCCGCGGCCCCCGCGGCCTTGCCCCCACCCCGGCCTCTCCCTGGGCCTTCGGAGAAAGCTGAGATCCCAGGCTGAGGCCGAGTCCCCGGACCCTAGGGTTCCAAATCGCACCAGACCTGAAAGATCGCAGGGAAAACGCCTTCGGAGGAGAGGGGGGAGGAGGGAGAGATGGAGGGGGGGAGGGGAGGGGAGGAAGAAGGGGAGGGGGACGACGACCAGGGGCAGGAGGAGGAGGGGGGCAGGAGGAGGCAGGGGGAGGAGGAGGGAGAAGAGAGGGGAAGAGGAGGAGGACGAGGGGGAGGAGGAGGGGGAGGAGGAAGAGGAGGAGGGAGAAGAGGAGGAGAGGGAGGACGAGGGGGAGGGGAGGAGAAGGAGGGGGGAGAGGAGGGAGGAGGGGGAGGAGGAGGAGAGGGAGGAGGAGAGGGAGGGGGAGGGGAGGAAGAGAAAGGGGGGAGAGGAGGGGGAGAGGAGGGAGGAGGGGGAGAGGAGGGAGGAGGGGGAGGGGCAAGAGGAGAGAGAGGAGGAGAGGAGGGGGAGGGGAGGGGGAGGAGGGTCAAGAGGGGAGAGGAGGGGGAGGAGGGGAGAGAGGAGGGAGGAGGGGAGGAGGGGGAGGAGGAAGGGGAGGAGGAGGGGGAGGAGAGGAGGAAGGGGGAGGGGGAGGAGAGGGTCAAGAGGGGTAGAGGAGGGGGAGGAGGACGAGGGAGGAGGGGGGAGGAGGACGAGGGAGGAGGGGGAGGAGGACGAGGGAGGAGGGGGAGGAGGGGGAGGAGGACGAGGGAGGAGGGGGAGGAGGACGAGGGAGGAGGGGGAGGAGGGGGAGGAGGGGGAGGGGAGGAGGAGGGGGAGGAAAGACAGATGAGCAAAGCAAGGAGACCCGGAAAGAGGAGAGGGTGCGTCCCGATTGGAAGGCGCGAGCAGCCAGCCAGCCCCACACCGGGGGGGGGGGGGGACCCCCACCCTCCCCATCTATGCGCCCCGCAAACGGCCGGCGCCACCGCCGTCAGGTGCCGGGATCTCCCGCTCGGACGAAGCCACCCTGGATGGGCTGGATCGCCGTGCGGGCCGTGCGGACCGCGTGGAAGCCAGGCAAGCCCGGAGCATCTCGGGCGCTAACCCTGGAGCCCGCGCGTGCGCCGCCGGCGGGGTGTCGGCGCGGCCCACCTCCTCCGCTGCTGCCGGGCCCGCACAGCGGAATCTGAAGGCTCCTGTGTTCATCTCCCGCCCAGCAGCCAACTCGGGGGCCCTGCCCGCAGGCCTCCACCCAGATCGGGGACCCGGCCAGTGTAACCCCAGCTCCCCACCAGCCTCCAAGCCAGCTGCGCCCGCCGGAGATGCGCAGCCGGCCGCTTTCTCGTTCCTGCCCCGGCCGACTCAAAACCCTGCAACTTCCAAACTTAAGCACCTTTCCTCTACCCGAGCCTGCGGCCGCTGGGATTCCAGTTTCTTTTTAATTAAATAATGGCTCATGAAAACGATTCTTTTCAAGTCCCAAAGTTACCTCTAGTACATGGTCATTCGACCCCCCACAAATATCTGCCTGCCCTGTACTTACTGTTTTGTTTTTCCAGCTAAGTCCTGACCCCACAAAGCCACAGCTATTTGAGGTTCACACCTGCCGATCCCCCCACAGGAAGGCAACCTGGCCCTCCACTCTACAGAATCGTGGTATCCCTGTCCATTCCCAGCCGCCTCCCCATCCCGGCTTAGGAGGGAGAATTTGTGGCAGCAATTTTTAAAAGTAGGAAAGGTTTGGAGGGGAGGGCCGCTTTCTTTTCAAACTCCACCAGTCTGTCTTTACTTTTGTTCCCTTCCCAGTGAAGAGCATCGCCTGCACTTCCTCACTACTGACGCCAAAGTGAAACACCTTCCCCTCCAAACTGATATAATGGTAAATTGCTAGGCAGAGCAATGAGCTCTTTAAATGAGAGGGTTCCCCACCCCACCCCGAAGATACACTGTAGTGTCTGGGAAGGACAAGAAAACGTTCTGCTGAAGAACTACTGGACGATCTTCTAGTGCTGAACACGACGACGACTTCCACCTCTCCTGTACCTGGTGGTTCAGAAGAGCAACCACACAGCGAGCAAATCTGGAAGGGGACCTAGTTTCCTCACACCAAAAACCCCAGTCTCAGCAACTTTTAAATTAAAGCCACAGCCCTCTAAATGTACTTAATGGTTCAAGTTTGCATCTTTAACTTTGTTGAATAAAATTTTATTTAGAAATGGCTAGCATAAATAAGCCACCTGTGTGTGTGTGTGTGTGTGTGTGTGTGTGTGTGTGTGTGTGTGTACGTCTGGAACTTGAACTAGGGGCCTAAACACCATCCCTTTTTTTTTACTCACAGCTAGCGCTTTGCCTCGTGAATTACAGCTCCATTTCCAGCTTTTTAGTGATTAGTTGGAGATAAAATGTCCCGTGCACTTTTCTACCCAGGATGGCTCTGAACCAAGATCCTCAGATCTCGTCCTTCTGAGCAGCTAGGATCACAGCCAGGAGCCACCAACACCTGGCAGCCACCTATGTTTTAATAAACCCACAATATTTATGCTTCTTGTTTCCGTCCCTTACATAAAACAATGTATGTCTTAGTTTCAAAGAGTGTTAAATGTCAGTTCTGGATTAATATTATCGTAATTCCCAGACACACTTTAAAACAAATACCTGTTTCTATTCAAGTAACAGAAAACCCCTAAGAACCAATTTTAAAAATTAATTTTCTCCTTCCTGCTGTAAAACTTGGGACAAACTCCAGCTAAGGTCAGTATTGACGGCCCACGAAAAGGACAGCGCAATTCCAGAGACTCTCAAAGATGCTTTCTCATTCCTGATTTGTGTTCTTTTTAAATCAACTCAAAGGTGTCAAGGGTAGAAAACGTCTCCAGCGTGCTCCTAGTTAATTGGTTATTTCAGCAACAACCCTCGCAAGGAGGAAGCGGTGACACTTGGGGAGTACAAATGAAGACGCATTTCGTTCTTGAGTTGTGGCGTTCTAGGGAGTAGAAACTCAAGGTTGCCGTCCACAGCCCTGGATGGTCTTAGATTCGCCGCAGATTTTGACTCAACTTCCTCTCCAGGGTCCAGAAAAGCGCTGTCTTAAATGCGCCGATCTGCACCAGCGAGGTTCGAGGTTCCAGAGCCGGTGGAGCCAATAGGCTCCCGGAGGCTGAGCTCGCCCTGGAGACAAGGGGTTAAGTCAGACCTGGTCTTGGGGTGGCTCGACGTGCCCGGCGGAGCCTCTCACCAGTCCAAAGTCCGGCAGCTGCAGGCAGCCAATGGACGGCCGGGAGCGCCCCAGACGGCCCCGGGAAGGGGCGTGGCCCGGGGCTGTCACTCAGTCCCGGAGCAATGACACTCGGGCGGGAGGGGGCGTTGGTGGAACGGCGAAACGCCGGGAAGGAAAGAGACCCAAACCGATAAAGCCCGGCAGGGTGGGAGGGCAGAGGGTGAAAAGGTGCCCGGCTCTTCTGCTGCAGCTGCTGCTGCTGCTGCGCCCAGTGGCCGCCGTCTCAGCGGCCGCCACCAGGGGGGTGAGGTCCGGAAAAGCCAGCCCAACGGGAGAGGGCACACACACACACACACACACACACACACACACACACACACACACACACACACACTCAAACCCTGCAGGCGAGGAAGACCTCGAGGCGCAGAGCAAAAGGCAGTGGGGCCCGTGCGCCCGGGCGCGGCGCCGCGGACGGCCACCGGCCAGGTCCCCCGCGCGTCCCGCGGCCCCCCGGAAAGCTACGGAAAATGAGATCATCCGTCTGAGCTGCGGAGGGAGAGCGCCTGGCTCTGGATTCCGGGGGAGGGGTGGAGGTGGGGGGGTCTCCGGGCGGGGGGTGGGCCTCCGAGGTGGGGGCGCAGATCCTGGGACCGAGGAGGGCGGGGGCTGCCGAGCCGGGCTGCGGAGTGGGCAGCGGGGAGGGGCCTGGCGCACCCGGCTCGCTCGCGCCGCGGCCGCCCGCGCTCTCCACCCGGCTCCGAGGCGTTCGGCGTCCCGACTGTCCGGCTGTCGGTCCGCCCGGCCGGCCGGCCGCTCCGGCCCGTGGCGCCGATGGCCGTGCGCGGCGCCGGCACCTTGACGCCCTTCTCCATCCAGGCGATCCTCAACAAGAAGGAGGAGCGCGGCGGGCCGGCTGCGCCCGAGGGGCGCCCGGCGGCGGCGGTGCCGGCGCCCGCGGTCTGCTGCTGGCGGCTGTTTGGGGAGACGGACGCGGGCGCCCTAGGGGGCGCCGAGGACTCTCTGCTGGCGTCTCCGGCCAGGAGGCGGACAGCGGCCGGACACCCCGCGGAGAGCCCGGGAAGCTGGGACTCCGACTCGGCCGTCAGCGAGGAGAACGAGGGCCGGAGGCGCTGCGCGGACGTGCCGGGAGCCAGCGGGGCCGGCCGCGCCCGGGGGACCCTGGGCCTCGATCCGCCGGGCTGCGAGCTCCATGCCGCCGCCAAGGACCTGGATGAGGACGCCGCGGGTCGGAGCGACAGCGAGATGTCAGCCAGCGTTTCAGGTCTGCGGTGGCTCCGAGGCGAAGTGGGTGGTGGGAGGGGGGAGTTGGGCATGGAGGTCAGGCACCCCCAAGTGGGGTGCGCCGGCTGTGAGCCCCACTTCCCTGTTCTGTGAGCTGGAAGGGTCGCCCCAACCCTTCACCAGCTGAGCCTCTCCCAAGAGAACCTTAAGTCCGGGGACACCGTGCCCTGGATGGGGTTCAAAGGCCACCACCGCTACATCCTCAAGGTTATATCTGCCCGTCCTCAACTCCCCAAGGTTAAGAAAGGGAGACCCCGAGGGCTGGGGGTCCCAGAATCCAGCCTCAGAGCTTGGGAGTGGGTGGTGAAGGATTGAACCCCAAGAGGAACTAGGATGGGGGTGGGGAGGGGGGAGGAATCGGCAGAGCCGAGGCTTGGAGGACCAGACTGGCTGAGACTCCCCCGCGCCAGGGCTGGAAGTTGCAGAACTGGATGGAGTCTCCGCAGCTGGGAAAGCTACCTGAAATTGGAGGGGGGTGGGGGGTCATGGCTGGACCTAAGTCACCCCCAGAGGCACTGAAGAGAGGGGTGTCCTGAGCCACACGCTGTCACCGTCCTAGGACGGAGCGATCTGCCCAGTCGGGGTGCGCTCTGATGTAGGCCTCAAGCGGACCTAAAAGCAGGCCGGCGGGGATGGTTTTCAACAGAGTTGCTTCCGGAGTGACATAGAGGTGTGGGGTCCGTCGGAAGACCCCCCCCCCCCGGGGGAAGGCACTGCCAGGTCTCCACCACCCAGTCCGATCGTATTTCCTTGCCTGCCCAAGGGTGCAGTCTGTGGCCACAGCAACGCAGAGCTGTTGGAGCAGAAGGCTCCATGAGTCTCTGGTCTCCAGAACCATCCTCTACCTCTCCCCACCCCTTACACACACACACACACTCCGTGTAGCTGGCGCGTGCGTGTGCGTGACAGCTGGGTGCGAGGAGGCCGGTGACCCCAAGCTCAGAGACAGAGAGAGACACAGGCTAGCGCGCCAGGGCTCGGCGGGACCGACTGAGACGTGGGTCGAGCCCAGCGCGGCCCGGTACCGAGGGGAAGTTGAGGCCCACGTTCACGTAGTGGGTGTGAGCCTGTCACCCGCATCCCGAGAGGCTCACCCGTGGGAACCAGGGGGCAGTCGGGGGGGGGGGGCGAGATGACCTCCCTCCCCACCCCGTCCACCGTCTTGGGGGACTTCCACGATCCGTGGGATCGGAGCGTTGGCGAGCCCCCCATCCCCACCCCCAAAACCCAGCCCGGCAGTCGGGGACCCCGCCGCTCCGCGGCTCTGACCGAGCTCTCTCGTTTGCGCGGCCCGCAGGCGATCGCAGCCCGCGAGCTGAGGATGAGCACGCCGGCCCGGGAGGAGGCGCGCGCGGGGCCGGCGGCGGGGGCGGCGGAGCCGGCGGCCGGGGAGGCAGCGGCCCGGCGGGCGGCGCGGAGGAGGAGGAGGAAGAAGAAGAAGAAGAAGAAGAGCCCGTGGCGCCCAAGCCCCGGAAGAAACGCTCCCGGGCCGCCTTCTCGCACGCGCAGGTCTTCGAGCTGGAACGCCGGTTCAATCACCAGCGCTATCTCTCCGGGCCCGAGCGCGCCGATCTGGCCGCGTCTTTGAAACTCACCGAGACGCAGGTGAAGATCTGGTTCCAGAACCGTCGCTATAAGACCAAACGCCGCCAGATGGCCGCCGACCTGCTGGCCTCGGCGCCCGCCGCCAAGAAGGTGGCGGTGAAGGTGCTGGTGCGAGACGACCAGAGACAGTACCTGCCTGGCGAGGTGCTGAGGCCTCCCTCCCTCCTGCCCCTGCAGCCCTCCTACTACTACCCCTACTACTGCCTCCCGGGCTGGGCGCTCTCCACGCAGTGAGCTGCCCCGCGGGATCCCAGCGCCCACGTCCCACCGTTGGCTTGGTAGTATTCTGCTCCCCGGGGGTTGGGGTGTGTGTGTGTGTTTGGGGTTCCCCGCCGTCTAGGGATCTAGGTGGATGAAATCTAGCTGGGGTCTCTGGTTAGGACCCATCCCCTGATGGCCAAATCGGTCCTCGCCCAGAGGAGGGCGCCTTTTCTCGATTCGTCCAGAGGCACCCGAATACCTAGGGGCTCCGCTCGCCCCCCCTCACCTGCCTATAACCCCCCCACACACACACACACATACACACACAACGGACGCTATTTATTACCACCCCCAAGCTTTGGAGGATGGTGTTTTCACCCCAGAGCAAAGAGGACTCCTGGAGCCCGCATAGCCTGAACCCCTAAAATTTCAGGCTTGCCCTGGGAGGAAAGGAGGAAAGGGGGGGGAGAGCTTCGTGCGTTAGGCGACACTTAGTTCATGGTATCCATGTTACCGATCTATGTGTATCTACATATCTTTGATTTTTTTCTCGTTATTTGGAAATTACAATGGAGACAAAGGGAGTGTGGAATCTTTTTACAGCTCCGAGGCGCTGGTGGGGTTTGATTTGAACCGCGAAGGGTTTGGGTTTTTGGGGGGGGGAAGACTCTTCACCCCGTTCTTAATTAGGGTCAGAGGTGGAGAGGAATCGCCCTCTTCCTTGGGTGCTGTTAAGAATGATAGCTTCTCAGCGCCAGGCAGGCCAAGCCAGGGACCCCCCCCCCATACCTTCCATTTATGAAGTTCAGGGTGCGGCTAAAAGAAAGGCTCGAAGACCCCAGTGTGGAGAGCGCCCCACCCGGATGGCCCTTCGCTGAAACTCGCCTTTCTTTCTCTCTTATTTTATTTTACAAAGGAGATTAAGACTCGCAGCACTTTTCAATGGTTTGTATTCAAATAACAATTATTTTTGTATTCAATGTGAATATTCCCCTGCTCCCGCACCGGTAGCGTGGCGCGGTCCCCTACCCCCCCTTTGCCCCGCAGCCTGGTCCCCGACTCCCGCGCCCCTGGCCCGCCACCTGTTGTAAGATCGGTGACCCCCCTTTAGCCACCTTGCCGTGTTTTGTTGTTTTTGTTTCTGCCTCTGAAGGGCACTGTGCACTCAACTAGAGTATGGCCTTTAAAAGAGATTTGTGAAACTTGGAAGCTCTGTTGGCTGTATGGTTTTTTTCTTTAATTTATAAACGTTTAGTTTCACACGCCTTTCTCCACACCGTGTTTTCTCTTTAAGCTTCTCTCAGAGCGACTTGGGGTGCGGTGGGGGAGGTAATAAAGGGGGGAACCAGTAGATGGGCTGGGAATAGCTAGATCTTCTGTCCGTCCCCCCTGGTGAGTCTTGGGTCTGGGAGTGGGCGCTGTCTCCCTCCTCCTCCTCTCCCTCCCCAGCAGCCCCACTCACTGGAAGGATTAAAATCCTCCAGGATCCGAGAACCAAAATTTCGGGGAGATATATATATATATGGGGACCAACCCCTAAGATTCCTGATGTTCTCGAGGTCGCGGCTGGCCTAGTGGAGGACTCTCCCAGGATGGAAGCCGCGGCCAATTTCCATTCACTCCTGCCCTCCGCCGCTCCTTCCCCGTCCTCCCACCGACTTCTCTGCTTTCGAGGTTTGACGGTCAGAGCTCCCCCTCCACCCCCACTTCCCTCCCTCTTCAAGGATCCGGTTTTCACTTCCTTCCAAGAACAGGCTCATTTAAAAACTGCAGCTAACGTTTCGGAAGCGCTCGGGGCGGCCGGGCCGCCAGGAACGCGTCGCCCCGGGAGCGTCGATGCTGGCGGCGCTTTCACTCCGGCTGGGAACGAGCGCCAGCCGGGTCCTGAGCCCGGAGGACTTGGAGACGTTTTGAGGTGCAGGAAATCCACTCGGGAGAGCGGAGGCTGCGGGCAGCAGGGGGTTTCAAGCAGCCCTCTTGCCCAGACGGATACCCGGCGCGCGCGCCCCGCGCCCCTAGCTTCGCTGGAGCGAAAGGCTGGCCCGCGCAGCTCGGCCCGGCTCTCTGCTCGCCAGGAGAGAGTGGAGGCCGCGTGGCCGGCGGGCTCCAGACTCCCAGACCTCGGCTTTCTTTGAGCTACTCCAGCCCAGCCTCGGTCCCAGCCTTCAGGCCTCCAGGCTACCGCGAAAGCCCTTGTCGGGGGGGGGGGGGAGGGTGGGGGCGCCTTCCCTCAATCCACCCCAGGCAGAGCTAGCAACCAGAGCTCGCCGCGAACGATGCCAGCTCCCGGACACGGCGAAGACGAAGAGACTAAAGCCACCAGGCCTGCCATGCCAGTGACTATTTCCACCGGCTTCCCGCACTGCCTCTACCTCTATTGTTTTTAATTCTATTTTAAGTTTACAATTAACCAGAAGTGCAGGTTTGTTTGTTTGTTTTTCCTCGTAGGAAGCTGTCACCTTTCCACGGATGCGCCCATCTCCTTCCTTCCTTCCTTCCCCAGAGCTGGCCCTCGGATGAAGAGGATTTTTGTTGTTGTTGTGTGAAGAAGGGAGAGGAAAGTCATTTCCCCCCACCCTGTCTGGAAGTGGCCGTTTTTGTTCGTGTCTGCGTCCTAAGAGGGAGGGTTTTACGCCTTCCTTGCCGATTCGCAGGCGAGAGAAGCAAAGCGTTTCTTCCGACTTGGCGAGTGATCGCCCGTCCAGGGTCGTTCCCCACCGCAAGCCCCGTCTTCCTTTCCGTAGCCGGGGTCGGGATGGGGCCTAGACCGACTTTGGCACCTCTGCAACTGCTAAGGGTGTGGGGGCAGGGGCGGGCGGCGGCAGGGAGACTCAAATAAATTCAATTCTGTTGGATCCGAATATGTGGCCGCACTTTTCTCCGAACTACCCATCTCAGTTTGCCTGGGTGAGAATGCTGGAGTCGGACGCACGCTCAAAGCCAAGTCCAACGCCACCTACGAGGGTTTCCCCGCGCACAGTGTGCGACCCAAGAAGAGTGCTCTAACCTGGGCTTTAAGCCACACACTGTGGCTTCATTTGGAAATATTGTGTAACTTCCTTTATTTTCTCTTTTTTTTCTATGTTACCCACTTCCCCCTCCTTGCTTTTTTTTTTTTTTTCAGGTGAAAAATTGCCTTGCTGTCTAACCTCAGTGCAGCCTTGGTTTACACACTGGCTAGTCTTTGCTGTATTGAAAGCTCTCTCTCTCCTCTCCAGGGATTTGACTGCCCAGAGCAGTCACAACTGTGCCTGAACCCAGAATCCTTCCACTGCTTCTTCCTTCTGTTCATTGGGGACTTAGTAATAATCTATTAGAGCTGGCCTTGGGCATCCTGGATCTGATGCGCCCACAGTACAGATAAGGAAGCCCAGATGAGGTGAATGTCTGGGAAAGGGGTTAGAATGCCTGTGGCCTGTAACTGTTACAGGCCGCAGAGATTCAGGAATCTTAAGCTGGGCAGCAAATTTGGGATTCGTTGAATGGCAAAAAAATAAATGACGTGTGTGTGTGTGTGTGTGTGTGTGTGAGAGAGAGAGAGAGAGAGAGAGAGAGAGAGAGAGAGAGAGAGAGAGAGAGAGAAACACCTGCGCCTGCTCGCCTTGCTTTTCTCAAGCTGCATTTCGTTCCAAGAGCTTAGGTTTGTGGGACTCTCCTGTAGCTGGAGAAGATCCTGAGCCGTGCAGTGATTAAGCAGTGATTGAGTCTAATTTTTTTTTTTTAATGAAGCAAGGAAGGATCCCCGCATCTCCACAGCTGCTCACACTGGAAGAGGATGGCAGTGAATCTGACTTCATTGGAGATAACTTGAAATGGTCTCAAACAAGATGTTCTAACACCTCCCAGAGTGGGCTGCTAGTGTGTGTCCACAGGCAGAATGTGAAGAAACGGGGTTGGTTTGAAGAATAGCATCCAGGGGCTTGGGGAAAGCAGAGAGCAGACTCAAGAGTTGTTTCTGTTCCCAGCTCCCTTGTCTCAGAGGAGGAAGAGCTTAGGAGCTGATCCTGGCACACCTTGGACAATTATTCTAGAAGAACCCTATCCCAGGTCTGCACACATCCCACAAAGTGAGGGTGGCACACCTCCAATTCCCTAACCAGTCATCACCAGCACCTGAGCTCAGTGCTCAGTACCAACAACGCATTCTCCTCTGTCCAAATCTTAGGAAAATGTAGAAATCGGCCTCTGCTTACAACACCCACGGCATTCATTTTGCCTACAGAAAGTTTCCTGCCTTGCCCCAACCACCAATGACAACAGCCTGAGCTACAGGCGAGGATCATATATTCCTACTTCCCACACCAACCTGGAATCTAGTCCAGGAGTTCTTGGAGCCCCCAAGGAATGAGGATGGCAGGAGAAATGATCCCAGATCAGCGCTGCAGCCCAGGCCGCTGCCAACCAGCCCTATACCTTAGAGGCCACTACTTTCACTCTGCCAACGATCCTAACTGGAAGTGTGTGGGGACCTCAGGAGAAAGCAAATGCTTGACAGTGTTTTCTGAGCCAGAAAGCGCTGAGAATCTGGAGCACTGCACTGCTCAGGCTTTAACAGCCGAAGAAGCCATTGTAGACAAATGGAGCTGGATCCAGGAGCAGTGGTTCTTAATCTGATAGACAGCTGACTACCCAGCAAACAATAATAGCAATGACAGCAAAAACAACTGCCTAGTGCATCACACACACACACACACACACACACACACACACACACACACACCACAAAGAAGCTCTTCCACACCTTATCCTACCCAGGATAAGGGTGCCTAACAAGACTTTTCATCCCACAGAAGTGGAAACTGAGTCTCAAATGTGTCTTTGTTGAATACAGGCCTTGAAGAGTTGTGAATAGCTGTAACTATTCAAAAACCAGAAATATAGTTTAGAATTTAAAGAGACAGGATAGATTTTTCTTCTTTCTCTTAGAGCTGACACACTCTAGGCTAGTTTTGGTTCTGGGGTAGTTGGGTCACAAAATCATGAATGTACTTGGAAAACCATTAAGTAGCATATGGCTGTTATTATTATTACTCCTGTT